TACAACTATCCCCAAACCTACACCCATTACCGTCAGCAAACTTGTAACACTCCGCCGTACCACCAGAGCCACCCTTAGGCGATTTCCCTTTACCCTTCCCAGTGTTCCCATCCCCGCTTACCGCCGCCACACTTGGACTCGGCGTTTGAGGTGATTGAGCAGATGGGGGAACATTTGGGGCCTTAGGATCACTAGCCTTAGTAGCAGCAGCGGCAGCGGCAGCTCTAGCCTTTTTATCAGGGGCTGGTTCAGTAGTCATAGCCAGAGACTCACATTCGGCTTGGATCAACTTCACCAGTTGGGTAACTCCCGTGACGGAAGGATTATAATCTATGGAACTGCGGTGGCGAAATGCGCTTACACGAAACGCTACCATAGGTTGAGAGGATAGCAACGAGCTAGTAGCAGCGTCCACCCCTTTTAACAGCAAAGAAGGGTCCGGCAGTGTCGCTTGAATCTCGCGCGCACGGGTTAAATCCTGCTGCCAACGCCTAAGGCCGGCGATGGCCTCCTTATAGGATCGGCAAGCATCTGGCTGAACCAATCGTGACAACAAATAGGCCCTTTCCGCGCTACCTCCTGGCTGATACACACACAAAATTCTATACAAGATGGCAGCACTTGTCATCCATCGGTTAGTAACCAACTCTTCCTTAAAGCTCGGGGGAACGCACGAAAGCAGTAAGGACACTGCACGAGACTCAACTCGTTGATACTTGTAAGCATCAAAACCAGCAACAACTGTTGACGGGTCTAAAGCTAACCTTTCCAAAGGGTCCGCAGTTAACCACCGCTGGTAACAAGCATTTGCAGTCTCCTCCACCGACCCGAACCAAGTAGACGCTGATGGTGACAGCCCAGCAAATACTTGCCGCGTTTGAGCTAGCCAATTACCGCAGGTTACAGCACTTGAAGCTAAATCCGCAGCAGCAAGCTTGGGTAGATCTATCACGTATCTAGCAGGCTCCTCCGGCAGCCCTCCCGCAGCACCAACAGAGGGGACTCCCCCAACTGCACCAGACACTCCAACACCCCCTGGTCCACGTCCACTAGGGTTATTAAAGTGCCCCAAACCCGCAGCACCGTAAGGCATGCCACCAGTAACTCCGACATCGCCAACACCTGCCAGCCCTGTCCCATGACATGCCGCACCAAACCCCGGATTCACAGTCCCATAAGCCTGGACACCCCGAGGTGACATTGGAGGAGGACCTGGGGGAGGTCTAATAACCGTGCCACCGGGCGACAGCGGGTATCCGTCAGGACTCAAACCACCCGAAAACCCTACGGACCTAGGCGTATGATAACCCGACTCAACCTGACCATCCCTCAAGGCTAAAGCAGCCGAAGTAAACTGCCTCAAAGTCTGAGTCTCTGTTCCAAAGCCCGTATCACGGCCAACCGGAATCTGAAGGGGAATACCAGGAGGTGCAGGTGGTGGTGGCTTAACCCCAGACATAATAGGTACCGCAGCCTCACAATTAGCATTACTTAAACCAGGATTTTCAACCACTGCTCCGCAGGGCGGCGGAAACATGCCGAAGGGCTGAGCAATCCTTGGATCCCTACACCAACCCCTTTGAAACTCGGAACCTTGGAAATCGTTACCCGGAAACACCCTTGGTATCTGCGCAATCTGATTCTCACACGGCACAGCTGCACGGCTTTGTACATTTCCCGCAAATGACATCGGGGAGTTAGCTTGGGTCTCCAACGCCGTCACGCAAGTTCCTCCGCTCAGGCCACTCGACTGAGACTCCACTGCCTCAAGTCTTTGCCTCAGAACCGCATTCTCCTGCATCATCTGTAGCATCATCTGCTCTATTCTTGAAGGACCAGAGTCCGGAATGAGTTCACGAGTGTCCGAAGCTTCAGGCTGCACACCAGCAGTCGCGATTGCAGATCCAGCCCTGTCCACGGGATTGGTTCCGCGACCCTTTCCTGTAGCCTCCCAGCCACGCCCATCATCCGGCACTTCCGTGCTGAGTTTTTGTTCTTCAGCAGTGGTTGATGCTTGCACCGATGGTTCCAGAGCCATCTCCACCCTGGCCAGCCTAGGAGCCTCTCCACGAAACCCCTGTCCAGCTAAGGCATAGTCCGGTTCCCTTCCAGTGCCAACGAAACTCCTGTCCCCCAGAGCCGCCTCATCAATATCTATTCCTGCACGCCTTCCGTCATCATCAAGCGTAGCTGGCCTAGATCTAAGCAATTCCACCTCGGATCTCACCCTCTCAGAATGAAAGGGGCTCGCTACCGGCAGAGTGGTATTGAGCTCTGCCTCCCCCGACGCGCCCAAAGAAGTAGTTCCTCCAAACGCTGCCTGAGGCGATCCTGCAGAAAGCCCACCTTGCTCAAGCGTCCCTGGAGACATCTCTCCAAAGCATACAGATGCAGAAGTCTGCTCCACATCCTCCTGGCTCAAGGCTGCCTGATAATCGGGTTCAGAAGTTCCAGCGGCGACACTCAGGTCACCTCCTCCAGAACTTCTTCTTTGACGAACAAAAGGATCCATGGCGTCGCAGTACCCGCACTAAGTACTCGACCC